GACCGATAAGTAAAGCAAGCAATAATAAAATAAATTTAAATCGTGTGACTTGAGCAGTTATAGCCTTGAGAAATAAATCTCGCTCGAATAGAGAAATCAATAATAAAATAAATTCAAATCATGACTTGAACAGTTATAGCCTTGAGAAATAAATCTCGCTCGAACTGAATATGATCCAAATAATGTCAAATACAAAAGAACAATAGCTCACAGAAAGAAAATAATATTATAAAGCTTTTGGGATGCGTGTTACAATGTGTATTATAAAGAATCAGACCCCCTTTATATAGTAGGGGAGTCCTGCTTTAGGTACAATTTTATAAAAGATAAAAAATCTCGTGATTTGCTAATTAGTCGGTCTCTCGTTGATAAGTACCGAGATTTCTGCCGTGATATCTGATCGGTTGCGGATATTTTGGCCTTCCTTTATTGGGTCCGATAATGTTTCCTTGAGCTTGTTCGGATCGGGGTCGATTCCGGAGTCACGGGGTCGAAGATCTTGGAGACGTATGTTCTGACTTCGTACTTTGGTTTGACGGAACCTAGGGTCAATCTTCAATCCATCACGTTTCGGTTCCGATCCGTCATGCGATAGATTAGGTTTCGGCCGTATACAGATAGTCCCCTCGTTTTTCGGAGTGTAAACGACGAGAAATGATATGAGCCCCTGACCCTGATCTCGATACTTCGTTTAAGAAACGACAAAAATAGACGAAACGTCTCGTCAGTCACATCTTAATGGCAGTAAATGCTCATCAGTCGCTGGTCGGCCGCTACAGACTTTGAACCATCGCTTGAATACTATATATACTCCATCCTTCATTCATTCAAACTTTACCTTTAAACCTCTTCTACTCTTGTTCTTTAAAAAATCTTTGCATTCTCTAACACTTGTACCAGATTTCTTGAGGTTTTTGCAAGAATCTTCGCTTGTCTTCATTCCAAAACATTAGCGTAACCTTTTAACTTCCTCTTCTTCATCTCTATTCAGAAAAAATGGCGAAAACTTCTAAGACAGTTCCACAAAAAGAAACTGCCTCTTCATCACGGCCGGTCGGCGAGGAAACAACAGCGGAACCTCACCCTGAAGTGTTTGTTCCTGGTGGGTGCTCGCCCGGTACTGATTTCAAGGTCGAAAAGACTTCCACGGTACCGGGTCGATGCGAGCCAGTCTCGAGATATATATGCTCGATCACCGACGATCTCCTCTCCAAGGTCAAAGAGGATTGCAACTGGGTTGATGAACACGTGGTGATGCCCACGCCTGAGGAAGCGATTACTGCCCACGTGGAGGGTTTTTTAAGTGTTTACACTTATCCCTTCACGTTGGGCCCCTTGGACCCGGTCATTATCGCCTTCTGTTAGAGGTACGAGGTGACCCTTGGTCAAATCCATCCCTCTTTCTGGAGGATAGCAATTCTCCTCCGCTTCTTCGTAAACAAAATCGAGGGGTGTCCCTTCACCCTCGATCATCTTATGCACATGTACAGTCCCTGACTCTCTCGAGGGGGATTAATAAAGCTCACCCGTCGGGCCAGTAAGGCCCCATTCTCGAGTATAGGCGAGGATCGGGATCGAGGATGGTTGGGCCGATTCGTTCGAGTGAAGACCTCGAATTTAATCCCGGCCGAGGACATGCCATTTCTCGAGAAACGGAACATGAAACGTAAGTATAACTTTGCCTTAAAGATTTCGTTTATTTTTTTTCTTTTTCCTCCCTTCTTATCGATAATTTGCGGTGCATCTGTTGCTCGAATGCCAAATGTAGTTCCTCGACTCAAGGAGTGGGTCGAGGACCTCGTGTCGCAGAAAGCCTATATTCCGAGTACGCGTGGCGCGAACTGTTGAAGGGCCGGTGGGAGGCCCGTTCCCATGGTAAGTTTCCTTTTCCGATTTAATAATATTTAAGTTTTTCCTCGTGCCATTGAGTTCTTATTAGTTCCATTTTCTTTTGCAGGTCTTCCCAAGGATATTGCTATGAGGCCTCCATCCGGTGACGAGGATGTGCCTCTCGAGTCCCCTGCTCCAAGCCAGGGTGATGAGAAGAAAAGGAAGACGGCCTGGAGTTCTCCGAGCTTAGAAAAGAAGAAAACCAAAAGAAGAGCGAGGGGCTTTAGAGGGAAAAGGGGGGCGAGCTTTAATTGAAGTAGGGGCGGAGCTCCTCTCCTTAGAGTCAAGTAGCTTTCACTCCTGAAAATTGTAGATGTCTTCTTCTTTACTGAGGGAGTAGGTATGGCGCACACTTACTATTTCTATGAGTTCCCTTTGGCAGGTCAATTAGGCAAATGATCAAATTCTCGCGATATCCGCACATAGTCCTGGTTGGAAGACAGGATCCATCCTCATTTTTGTACTTGCTGTTTTATTTTCCAATTATTTCTTCAATTAAGAAAACGAAAGAGAATAAATAAGATTCTCTTAGCTCATTCGGAAGGATCTCATAATCGATCGCGAAGCTATCGCCCGGTTCAACCAACCGTCCGTCCTGGTGCCTTTGCTACTGATTTGACCGCTTCTCATCGTTAATCCGGGTTCACCTTGGCCCTCGCCCCAGAGTTCTTATGAAGACTCTGGTGGTGCATGTGTATGATAGGGCCCCCCATAAGCGGTTTGATTGAACTGTTCACATTGGCCATCTAGAGAGATTATATACAGTGTGCCGTTAGGGAGGAGAACTCTTGAATAGGAAAGAGGGGGAAAACTGACTTCTAGTGAGGGTTGGCGCCCTCTTTTATATGTCTGTCACTTTATCTTTGTTAGTGCTGTCTGCCTATAATGATAGATGAATCAAAAACTTTTCATTCAACTTCTTCTTTCAATTGAAATTGAGATTTTTGCCTATCCTCCTATTTTGAAAAAATGAAAACTTAGGTAAGTGCTTTCTAAACATATGTATAAAGTAGGAAAATTTACTGAAGAAGTGCGGGAAATATTCTTAAAAGAGCTTCTTCAAAATTTCGTTTTCTTTTTTAAGATAGAAAGTCGAATCACTAACAAAGGAATTTTCTTTGGGGATGTTGACAACGCCTCCGGCAAGCTAAAGCAGGCACCAAGAGCTTGGTTTGAAAGGTGACAGCAGCATGTATAAGAGTCGAAATAGGATTAGAGGAAGGAGCCGGTTTTCAAATAAGTAAATCGGATCATTCAATGTTTATAAGGAGGTCGACATCAGGTATTGTCCTTCTTCTGCTTTATGTGGATGACATTGCTTTCTCTAGTTTCCACCCTTTCCCCTTTTAATATAATAATAAGGTAAGCTTCCAAAGCTCATTTCTTCAGCTGGTGCGCAGGAGCACACTTTCGTTTTCCCCTTTACAAGGGGCTTTCATGAATAGGGATTTCCCGCCAGCAGTCTTCTCTTCCTATCACTTCACTTCGTTCTAGAAATCTGATCTCACCGGGCCGGGCGGAGGGGGCACTGCTAGCTGTCCATCTAGTCCATTCCGTCCTGCGTTGGAAAAACCTCTACTCTACCCCTATGTTCGTATGCCCCTATGTCCGTGCAAGCGGACAGCGTCTTGACCCCCATCCAATTTTTGGGCCAATTCCCCCTTCGTACTACCAAAAAATGAGATTCTTACCGAATCCGAGTTTGCTGCTCCAACCATTACCAAACTAATACCTATTCCGTTTAGTACTTCAGGTGCTTATGTTGCGTATAATGTTAATCCCGTAGCGGATCAATTCCAACGAGCCTTTCAAACTAGTACTATTAGTCATCGACTAGCCCTTCTGGGCTGGGGGTGCCTCGGAAGTAACCTGAAGTGCTATCTGAGTAGGTCTAGACTGACCACGACCATGCTTGCCCTTGCTCCCAGATGGAGCACCACTCTGTCCTCCTGTAGTATTGACCTCTTGCTCTCCCTCTCGGCTATGTCCCGCCTCTTAGATGCCTTGCACCTAAGGGTACATTTAAGGTTCCTCTCCTTCGCGGGATAGGGCACATTCCGCCATAACCACGCTTTAATCAGGCGGTCTTCCCTTATCTTCCCTAACGTTTATGTATAATTTCATCTCTCACGCACCTTTTGGCGAGTTACCTTATGTATTTCATTAAAAAATCGACGAGGGGTTCTTTAATATATAGTGGGTATAATTAAGGGGGGGTTTTGGGAACACCGGATAGTTTAAGTATGTAACTGACAAAAACATGATAGTTTAAAAGGGTTTTAGGGTATTCACTCATTTTAAAATTAAGAAAATGACCTTTTTAGATCTCTTATATGTAAAAGATAGATCTCTTACGTGTAAAAGTAAATCTCTGATGTGTAAAAAGAGAGGCAGGGTCATAAAACTAAAAACAAGTTTGTAAAGAGCCACTAACCAATATGACCCGTTTACTACCTCTTTTTTTTTTTTTTTTTTTTACACATGAGATATTTAGTTTTACACGTAAGAGATGTCTTTTACACTTAAGAGATTTAAAATTATTATTTTTTTAATTTTAAAATGGTAAAGAGGCATGATGTACAAATAGCACCTATTAATTATCACATCAACTTTGTTATAAGAGTTACATGTGTAAATCATCAACTTAACATGATACTTGTCAACCCTCTCTATGACATACTCGTTTGTTCCGATATTTTTTACTGTTATAGTAAAATGTTGTTATAGAGGACATATATTAACATAACATAAAGATTAGTTCCGAGAAAACTCGATTTTTATAGTGAATGATTGTTCTATAGAAATATTGTTATAGAAAGGTCCGACTAGTAGTGCGCATAACTCTAACTCTTAATTAAGACCACTAGGGAATATTGATATTTGATCTCTAAAGACATCTAAAACACACGCACACACACAGTGACACAGAGACAAACTCACAAGGCTAACGGGCTTCTACTTAATTCCATAATGATGAAAGTTTGAGTACTTCAAAGTTCAAACTAATGATATCGCAATTATGTTAAAAATTCCGATAACAGGTTTATAAAAATTTGATATTTAAAAGCTAGACATATGATAAAATATCAAATTACATATGTACCAAATAATTAATAGAAACCTAATATCATTGAAAAAAAAGGCAACATAAATAATTAAATATACTCCATCTAGTAGCTAGACAAAGAAGAAAGAAAAAAATTACTGACAAGTAAAAGAGAAAACTTCAAAATTTCTTCTAAACCAACAAATGTCTATTCTTTCTTTTACATATTTCAACCTTTTTCCTTTCCTTCTTCAATATTCTAATCTATACTTTAGGAGAACTTTTATTTTGAAGAAGACCACCAAAATTTTCTGCCATAACCATTTCTTTTTCAGCCACTTTAGCTTCCTCCCTAAATTTCTTGTAAATATCATTCTTGTAAAAATTCCTTGTCCTCAACACCAAAATTATTGACACAAAAGCTCCAAGAATTGTAACTCCTGTGATAATAATAAAAGCCAACTTAAAACATTCAGCCCCAATACATTCCAAATCTTCACCAATTTTCCTACTTCTTCCCAATGCCTTCATCTGTTTTTCTGCTTCTTTATCATATAAATATCCAGCCACCCTTACATTAAGCACATATGCACCAATTGGACTTGCCACTGATCCAAAATTATACAAAGTTGAGTAATATTTCAACCCAAAAAGTTCTGAAATTATGGCATATAACAATGGCCATTGTGCTCCAAAGCAAAATCCTATGACTATAGATGCAACATAAAGGCCACCGGGGACGTCGAAAGCAATGAGAAGATGGCCAAGACAAGAGATGATGAGTGTTATTGTGAGCATTAGGGGTCTAGGAAATTTGTATTTTGACAAGAAATGTTCTGAGAGGAAACCAGACACAACTCTTCCTAAATAATTCCATATACTAACAAGTGACACAAATGTACTAATGCTGTTTTTTGGATAGCCAAGTGATGTTCCAATTTGTCCCAAGTTGTCTATTGCTGTTAATGTCCCTCCAACACCACAAATCGTCGCGAAAAATAGTATTAACATGTCAATACTAAAAAGGGTTTGTAGTATAGTGTAGTCCTCACCTCTATCCGGTGCACGAAAAACTGTTTTCCAACACGAAACTGTTTCTTGATTTTTTGAAATGGTGGCAGAAGAGGGTGTTTGTGGCTGAATTTGCGGCTGAGCAACTTCACAATTTGGCTCCTCAGTTACTAATTTCACTTGTGAAATACTTTCCAATGCTTGTTTCTTGGATTTCCAAGAATCAACTTCTTCTTTTATAACAATAGCAAGTGGTAAACAGAGGAAAAACAGAACAATAGCTGTACTCAAACCATACTCACTTTGTTTAAAATCTAGCCTTTTTTGAAGTATGATAATCAACATGAGAAATCCAGCAAGGCCAAGAGATATATACAAAAACCTATAGAAAACTTTCATCTCATGTGCAATCCGAACAACTTTCATAATACGAATTATACGTAGAAACACAAAAGAAACAACAGCAGGAAGCCAACCAATAAGTAGAATAAGAGACTTAGATTCATTACCATAAATAGCATGGTAAATTTGTGTCAACATTGCACCACTTAAGCCAACATAACCCTTCAAAAGTCCAAGAACCGCGCCACGGCTTTCTGGGAAATTCTTGACACAAGTTACTAAAGCTCCAGTATTGGCAAAAGACTGAGAATTTGCACCAATACAAATGTATACACACATATGCCAAACTTTAGGTTTTGGAATTTTTTTGGTCACAGATAGCCAAATCATGAAATACCCAAAAAAGTTAAGGACTGCACCAACTGAGAGAACAACCCAAGGGGGTGTTACTTCATTGATTAAACCAGAAAGGACACCAACATTGGACCCTAAATCTTTGAAAAAACTGAGTAAATTAAGGGTGGTTTGATCATATCCGAGCGAAGTTTTGATATCAGTAGAGTAAATACCAAAAATGTAAGTGGCACCAGAGGCTGATAAGATTAGAACAGTGGCAAATACCATGAACCATCTTCCAGTGAAGACTTGTAGTGTTAGGCTTCTCATATTGGCTAGACCTGAACCACTACCTTCGACACCATAGGCCATGTTTTTTTAGTTCTTTGATAGAATGATACAACATGGGATCTTAGAACGAGGTATGTACATATATATAGTTTAAGTTACGTGAACTGACAATATAGTGTAAATTTTTTTTACACTATCATTGCAATTGAAATTTGAGCTGATTATAACAGGTTCTTACTCTTGGAGCAACCTACAAGTTGTCTCCGTGTGACCTATTGGTCAGGGGTTCGAGACATGGAACCAGCTATTATTGCTTGTATTAGGATAGACTGTATACATCATACCTTTTGGGGTGCATTCCTTCCCTGGATTCTACCTGAATACGGAATATTTTGTGCACTGGACTGACCTTTTTTATAATAGGTTCTTACTATATCTTCCAGGTTATGATATCAAGATTCATAAAAATGTTAACGGTTGTAGGTCAACTTAATCAGATAGTATGAACAGTTACGTACACTATTACTCCCTCCGGTCCAAACTAAGTAGTAACTTTTTTGCTGTTTTCACACAGATTAAGAAATTCACCTTTTAACATTATTTTGCAATGAAATTGACCATATTAACCTTTACTATCTCTTCACATAAATACTCCTAACACATACTCCAACACTATTTACTCCAACGGCAATGTAGGAAAAAAATAATTACTTTATTCTTGAAATCTGGAAAAATCACTTATTTTGGACCATAAAAAAAAGGCCAAAAAATCACTTATTTTGGACTAGAGGGAGTATAGACATAAACTCTTATGTACGGATTTAAGTTATATACATTAAAAGGGGCAGCCCGGTGCACTAAGCTCCCGCTATGCGCGGGGTCGGGGAAGGGCCGGATCACAAGGGTCTATTGTACGCAACCTTACCCTGCATTTTTGCAAGAGGCTATTTCCACAGCTTGAACCCGTGACCTCCTGATCACATGGTAGCAACTTTACTAGTTACGCCAAGTTGCCCTTCTTTAGTTATATACATTATTGGTGCAAATAATTTGTGCACGGTTAACTAGTTATAGCAGGTTGTTACTCTATATTCTTCTGCTATAAAGAATTACATATTGTACACTCTCAGCTTAAACTCTATATATAAATATCATTAGTAATGCAGCAAATGTAGATTTCTATGTAACTCTTGCCGCACCCCACGCCTACTTCTTAGGGGTATGGAGTATGGGAAGGTGTGGGGAAGAGATATAATATAGTAATAATTAATACATGGACTTTAAATCATAGTTGACTTTGAAGACAGGCTCTTGGATTGGTAAGATGGAGAAAGAAATATACATTTGGGTAAAGAAAAAAGATAGAAATGGAAGATTAAAAACTAGTATTGCTCTCTCCCATTTATATATGTTTGCTCTTACTATATTTGGAGTTCAAAACGATTTTATCCTTCGCTACAGTTTTTGTAGCATCTTTTGAACTTTTCTTTAAAATGGAAACTGTGACTCATAATAGTAATTTATTTTGGTCAGTCTTGAACCTCAATATTGGAGTAAAGACACATTTATATGTACGTATAACAACTAGTAAGGAATAAGGGTGTTAAACGGGTGGGCCGGGCCGGGCCGGGCCGGGTGGGGGAAAAGTTGGAACCGTCGGGTTTCGAACCGGGCCGGTTACGGGTTACCAGGCTTAGCGGGTTCGGGTCCATCCGGATAAAAAATGAACCGTAAGGGTTACGAGTCCAAGGGGTCGGGCCGGGCTGGGTTAGTGAACTTTTTTTTTTTTTTTTGTATTTTGTATTACTATTGTAAGTTATATTAATATAAAGTAAAAATATAAAGAATACAATGAAGATGGAAAAAAAATTGCACTTATAAATTGCAAGTGCTTTTTTTATTTCAAACTTTCAAATTGAAGTTTGCATTTAACAACAAGTAAATTAACGAAAAAAGTGTAAAACTAAATTTTCATGCATAATAATACTTCAAATTAATCTAACAAACTAAAACATTAAGCATAAATACGTCTAATAATTTTAAAATAACACAAATTGTCTCAAATTAACTTAAATACGAATTTCTGGAGGACGCTCAAGACAACTCTTCATATGACTCCTTAAACAGCCTGTGCCCACCCACTTTAGACGAAGATTTAAGACTCGACCACAGTTCTTGCACTTTACTTTGTGAACTTTTTCATTTTCTTCTACCACCTCAAAGTGTTCCCAAACATATGAGCGCACTCTAGAAGTACGGGGCATGATTTAACTTGAATTGATAATTTTAGTTTGAGAAATGAGAGATGAGTGAAGAAATGGAAAAGAGGGGGGTGTATTTATAGTTTTTCAAAGGGCTAAATTAGTAATTACAAAAAGTGTTAAATTTTAAAAAAAATGGCCCAAAAAGGGCTATTTGTGCAAAACAGCCGTTGGGCAACGGCCCCTTGGCCCAGCTGACCGTTGCCAACGTTAACAATCATTTTTTTAAAAAAAAAGTCGAAACAACTAGCCGTTAACCGGTTTGGGCCGGTCCGGGCCGGGCCGGTTAACCGATTGAACAGTGAATCTCGTTGACCGGGTTTGACCGGGCCGGTTAACCGGTTGAATAAAGGTGAACGGACCAACCCCCCTTACCGCATTAACCCAGCCCACCCGGCCCCTTTTGTACCGGTCCGGGCCGATTCTGGTTTCAACCGGTCAGAGCCGGTCCGGAAACGGGTTGACCCGGCCCGTGAGACACCTTTAGTAAGGAAGTGCCCGTGCGAGGCACGGGCCCAACCTCAAGAGAATGCCAAGAAATTTTATTTGTTCTGACTCAGATTGGCACCGATTATATGAGTACCTTATTTTAGAAGTTAAATAAATATACATCATATGCTAGAATTTACTTCTCCTTTTTTCATTTGAGTTGTAAAAAAATTAAATATTCGTTGCATATTTATAGTTGGTTTGGAATGGTTTGTTTGAAGGAATTTTAAAAACACAATTGTTGAGCTCGATTGGTAAAGAAGACAAAGTGCGTCTATTGGTCTTTGAAGTTTTGGATTGAATTTAATAATCGGTAGTTATTATGATAGATATTAGCCGGTTGGATATTAAATTAAGATTTGGTTCGGACCAACTGGATCAATTTTGAACAAAAAATGTGTTCACAATTTTTTTGTGCAAGTCGTCTGGATTTTGTGAATAATTGATATCGAAGTTGTGACATAATTTGTATTGCAGCTTTAATGATGCGTTGGACTCATGACAAGCCCTACTCGTCTGAACATCTTACTATTTGCCAGGACTCGCAGCCAAGTTTGGACCCGTAAGTTCCAAATTGTGTCTGCAAGCTCTTATTTATACAATTCAAAAACTTAAAACAGTGGCACAAAAATCGCCTCTATGCAAATCAAAAGAGAATGCTACTCTAAAAAATTTACATTTTGCATATTTGTAATTTAAACTTCTCTATTCCTTTATGTTCATAACTTTTTTCACATACTTATCTTAAGGTAAAATCTTCTCTAACTTATTGATATATTGATAATTTCTGCAATACTGAACTTACATTTGTCAAATTTTACCAAAAATTCAAATGCGATATAAACTTCTATTATTTTAAATTTAGTAATGTATCTTTGTACTCTTTAATGTTTGCAATTATTTTTAATATATACTTAAATAATTAAATATAATATCTTATTCAGAATGTCTCTCTAATTCTATGAAATGTTAGTTTATTATAGGCTTAAGAAAGTACTCAACAAAAAAAAAAAA